AAAGGTGAGGATCAAGAGCGTCTCTTCCCACTGCGGGCTGGAGCGGACCGCGTCGTAGACATTCTTAATGAGGGCTTCGCCTTCAGAGACGAGGCCGGTTGGGTGCATGGAGTTCGTGCCCACGCCGCAGCAGGACGGGTCGACGAAGGAGAATTCTGGGAGCGCGCCGGCTGCCGCATCAGCGTAGAAGTTATCCAGGGGGACTGCTTTGTCGGAGTTGCCGCTTGTAAAAGTCCAGTCGAAGAAGTAGGCGTCAACCATACTAGGACTTGTGTAGTAGTTTTTCCAGGTGTGGTTGGTTTCTGAGAGCTGCTGGAAGATGGAACGGTGGGTGAGACCGTGGACATCTGGGTTGAAGGTCTCATCGTTGTATCCATGACCAGCGGATGTGCCTGAGAGCACAAAGGCCCGGTTGGGGTTGGTGGGCTATTTATACACGTTAGAAGCTATACGCGGCCGCTATAGAGTATGGGAATTTGCTCGGACTTACACCGGGGTGATCCGAATGCCAGTGGTTGAATGTGAGGTAGTTCTGCACCAGTGTGGTCATTACCGGCACCTCGTCTTCGATATAGTAGTTGATGACCTGCTTGGCTAGATAAGCCTTGTCGGCATCGTCGCCATAGCTGCGCAGCTGCTCATGCACAAAGCCATGCTGGGTGGGAGTGAGCTTGCCCTGGGCAATGTGGGCATTGTTTGGAACGAAACTGCCATAGAACTCAATGTTGTTTCCAGTCACCGAGTGATCAGGATCATCTAGAACAGAGTCAAAGTCCTTGGCAGAGCTGCACACCGTGCCAGCTGAAGGATCGGTCAAGTTATACGGGTTGCAGAAAGGGCCGTTATTGATAGGGTTATCCAGTCCCTTGATAGTCTGCCCGCCGAGCAGGTTGTCCACAGAGCGGTTTTCCATTTCCAAGATGACAACATTCTTGATCTTGCTCTTCAGATTGGCGATGGAAGCCGAAGAAAGAGGGGTTTGTTGATCGTTTGTATCAGCAGAGACAGCCACCGCAAACACCAACAGACGAAGAAGGGCACTGAGGTTCATTATGAATCAAGGGCGTCCGTTCCAAGGTCTGGGCAGGGTGTTTGGTTTGAGATCTGAATTAAAGGGTCTGTTGTCTCTCTTATATGTTGCATTTAACCAAATATCCCTGGCATTCCACAGAACAAGCCAACTTCCAGTATCACCTTCCACGTGTTGCTCTGGAAATCACGACTTGATGGAGTGAGTTCTAGAAGGATGGATATTGAGCGCAGTAGTGATCGAGCTGCGGGGTCATAAATTAACACTCTCACAAGGCGGGGGTGAACAACATCATGAAATGCACCCGATTGGCGATCGTCGCATCGTCCCCATAGTCCATACGTGATTGGCCACTTCAGATCGATTGGTCGGTACCTCGATCACGTAAAAGAGGTACTCTCAACCTTCACAAATGTTGTTTCACGCCTTTTGAGGTGGATTTACCTGCCACCACCATGCCAAGCATTCGCACAGACTGAAAGTGTGCCAATGCATGAAGAATGACCCTAGAAAACGAGATCGCAGGTTGCCTGGCCAAGTTAGGCACAACATATGTTTGTTTGCAAGCAATTTTATTCGGTCCACTTCGTGTCATGTGGAATGCCCCGGACCACAACAAAACGACATCGGGCTTCCCACGTGACCACTGGGACGAAGTGCGACTTCCACGACACTCAGACACTCAACATACAGTGTCGATCATCGCAAAAGGTAACATTTGATGTCTCTGAAATCAATTCTCTGATCTCACTTGGAATTGTGTCTCATACGTTCCAGAGGCCGTGCGCCTAGTGAAGGCGGTAATTGGCTACCAACAAGTTCAGGTGGTGGGCTGGATTGGGCTATTTTGTTGAGTCCGATATAGCATTCGGTCAATATCGGAGTGGTACAGACATAATTGTGGGGTTAAAGCCTATGTCGAGTCTTCCAGCATAGATCACTTATCTCTATCTGTCTACATGCATCAAGTCCAGGCTGACTATAGGTCTTGGTGTCCTCCACTCGAGGCTAGCTCGCCCCTAGATAGTGTAGTACCTACCTACACATAGAAAGACAGCACGTTAAATCTGAACTTATAGCGACTTGGTCATCAGCAGGTCTTTTATGAAGGAAGATGCTGCCGACCAAAAACCGGATTACAAATTTTCACCAGTTTACAAATTTAAGAAAATAAGTTTTGTATAGAGTTTCCATACAAAAGGTACATAAACCCGAAATAGCCAATAACCTCAATTTTTAAATACCCACTGGTTTAAGGGAAAATAGAAGGATAGAGTTCTGCTCTAACCGATTTATATACTAATATGAGGTATGGAGAAGTAGGAAACTTCTTAGAGATCACCATATATCACAATTTGTATGTAAACATCACATGTAAACATCACATGTAACCATTCATTCTCTTGTATACTGGATAGTTCTTACTAAGATTGATACTAAGTAATTGAGATTTTATTTACATTGTATATATCTTCCTACCTTCTCCCTAACTATTTCGAGGGAGGAGAAAACTGGGGTTATGACTACACATGTACATAGTGTGTTGTTGTGTTTAAGTACCTTTTGTATGGCTACTAAATACAAAAGGTACATAATCCCTGAATATGTATGTATATGCGGTGTTTGGTGGGCTTGGCACGGTTATTCTTGCATCGGGGGAACTTGTCGATGGTGCCATCTTCAAATGTCTCCGACGTCAGTCGCGGGATCATGAAAAACAATTAATAATCATGTTTGGATTTCCAATCTAACCTCCACTCACACTTTGCACCTTGTATAAGTTAAAGAACGCGTCTCGTAACATTATTCTCATATTGTGGAAATACATTCCCTGTCATCTGCACGCTCTCATCACGAGGAAAGCAAAATTCATCCAATAATCTCAACATCACAACACAATCTTTAAGCTAAACCGCACACCAATAATTATAAAAATGACGACAGCAGCATTCAGATACATCGACCGGGCTTCCTACGACCCCAACGCCACAGAGCCATTCAAAAAGCCCTGGGGCAAAGTCGACGGACCAGGGCGCTCCTACCAACTCACGGAACTGGAGCGCAAAGTCGAGAACCTCCGGGGGCAAGAGTCGAACTTCACAACTGACAATTCTGGCTTCGCCCTATACAACTCACCGGCGAAGGAAACTGCATTCACCGACGACGCCGAAGTGCGAGCGGGGTACTACGCAGAAGTAGAAGACCTACTCCGCCAGAAACTTCCCGGCGTGAAAAAAGTAGCTATCTTCGACCATACCATCCGGCGGCGGACGCCGGGCTCAGCGCGCAGTCCTGTACAGCTGGTGCACGTGGACCAAACGCCCAGGGCTGCTGAGGCGAGGGTGCGTCGCCACCTGCCAGAGGATGAAGTACAGGAGCTGTTGAAGGGTCGATACCAGATTATCAATGTCTGGCGTCCGATTGAGAATCCGGCTTCTGATTTCCCGTTGGCGCTGATTGATTGGAGAAGCATTGCTCCTTCAGATTTTGTCAAGGTTGATCTTCTTTATCCGAAGGAGTGGCAGGAGCATGGAGAGGTAGCGCCTGATCCTGAGTCGATGTTTTCTACGGACGGGTATGAGGTCAAGGGGGAGACTTACGCTATCGCTCCTAATGAGAAACATCGTTTCTTTTACGCTAAGGATATGACGCCGGAGGAAGTCATGTTCATCAAGTGTTTCGATTCGAGGAGTCACACTATGACCGGGGGGAAGACGGATATTGCTCACGGCTCGGGTCATACTGCTTTCTTTGACCCGCAGACTCCGGCTGGATCGCCGGGGAGGCAGAGCATTGAAGTTCGGTGTTTGGTATTTTACGAATAAGCATAAGGGGTTCTCATGCCGCAAGAAGTTATGTATTCAATTCGACGTCCATGTCCTTTACATAATTTCTACCCTGTATATCATCTATATTATCCCTGTTCGTGTCCCGAGGTCATCGACGGGTGGGGTTCCGACAGGCACTTATCTTTCCGATATTCTCCAACTTCTTAGCTCCAATGTCATTAGAAGGCGCCTTTGATAAGTAAATTAAGTCAATCTCCCTAAGGAATCTGCGGAAACGCCCTGTTAGACCTTCGAGAATACTCCAGATTATCAATTAACCTGTCTTGGCAGGATCGTACTTATCTGAGTCACAGAACATCTCCATATTTAAAGACCCCTCTCTCCAAGCGTTCAATTTTGTTTTTTTTTCTCTTCACCTATAGCACAAACCTCACATATCCATAGCTCGCATTCTAGGTGTTTTTCCATTTTATCATTACACCAAGACCACTCAAAAAGGCGGCTGAATAGTGAGCCCGAACACCGGTAACCTCCCCCCGAAATGTACTAACATCTACCCAGGATTCAAAAATGACCTCTCCAACACCAGAACTACGAGACCAACCCAAAACCTGGACGAAGGGAGAATACCTAGTCTCAACCAACACATCCCTAATCCCCATCGAAACCCTAAACACCTGGTACGCCGGCGAAGAATTCTACTGGGCAAAGCCAATGCCAGAGCCCGCTTTGCGCGAAACATTGCGGAACTCCCTGTGTTTCGGACTGTACCGCAATCCAAGCCAAATCCAAAGCCAGTCAGACAAGGCACCACAGAACGAGGCATCGTCAGACTCCACACTTGAATTCGTCGGCTTCGCACGCTGCATAACAGACTATACGACGTTCCTCTTCTTAACAGACGTCTTTGTCCTTTCCTCGCTCCAGGGTCTCGGTCTGGGAACGTGGCTTGTAACCTGCGTGCAGGAGGTTATTGAGTCGATGCCTTATTTGCGGAGATCGCTGCTGCTCACTGGGGATTGGAAGCGATCCGTGCCGTTTTATGAGAAGGTTATGGATATGGAGCTTATGGTATGTAACCCTCCGGTTGATGGGGAGGACGCGGTGGGCTTTGCTGTTATGCAGCGGAAATCTTGGGGGGCTCCTGGGTTCGGGGAAAAGCCCTAGATGTTTCAGTGGGATTATTATATTATAAATAGAGTTGGTGTTATGGTTAAAGGTGTAGTTGATGCAGAAGAAACGCTTTTGTTTCCATCTGTTCATTTCTCATATGACTCATCACCAAATATTATAAGAGAATAATAAGTTACCCAGACTACCAATTCCAGTATGCCCCACGCAAAATCCTGGCTATTAAGTCCCAGCTCTGAAATTCAAATTGTCATCGAAAAGCCATCCCATCACATCGACTCTTAGTCTCTAATCGAACCCATACCCCCCAGTACCAGACCCTAACGTATCCCACGGAACGGAAGTAGGATTAATCCAATTCTGCGGGTGCATCTGCCCGAAACTGGAATGCATGGTGTGCTCACTGGAGGTCGATGCAATAGTTGGCACCGGCGATCCGGATTGCGAGTGTGGGTGCGAGAGGGCATAGTTGTCCTGCACTGCCATCCCCGGGGAGAGGTTTGACATTGAGAGTGGCATTTGGATGCTTGGTAGGAGGTGGTTGTGGGACTGGGATTGGATATTGGCCTGGCTTTGCTGGTGTTGGGCTTGGGCTTGGGCTTGAGCCTGGGCCTGGGCCTGGGCTTGGAGGTGGGATTGAGAGTGGGTTGGTGATTGGCCGTTGTATTTTGTCGAGGCAACGTCGCTGGTTTGTATGTTAGTCACTGTTCCGGAGGTGGAATAGGTAAGGATGGGGTGTGACTTGGACATACATCATCTGCCGAATTGTGGGAACAGCCTTGCTGCAAAAAGCACTACGGACTGAGAGCGAGGCGAACATATCTAGTGCCCGATCGAGAATATCTTTGATCTCTTCGTACTCGGCCTGGCCCTCGGGAATGAGCAGGATGACAGCCAATGTGACTGCAGCGTGGAAGGCGTGGAAACTGCCTAGTCCGCTGGTATACCATTTGTAGGGCTTGAACGATTGTGTTTCGAGGAGAGTTTCGAAGATGGAAAGTGAAGCCTTGGCGGAAGCGATGCACTTTGCCCTTGTAGCGCAAGTTTCAGGTGTAATCTCGCCTTGTAGGTACCGGCAGAGACCAGGGCGAAGGAGGAGAAGCAGAAGTTGATGGATCTGGCTGTAAAGGATGTGGTGGTTGGCTTGGTGGTGAATGAGTAGGGGGTTGTTTGTATCGACTGCATAGCGAGTCTCGACCATTTCGCGGACGGATATGATTTCCGCTTCGAGGTGAGAGGTGGTGAAGCGAGATGTGTTTGGGTAGCTGAATATTGTTTCACAAATCTTCGACGAGATTCTGTACAGTCGGAAATTCAAGAGGAGGTAGGTCATCTGTGTTGGGCGGGGGAATATTGACGGTGCTGATCTTTTCAAGCTTGGACTGGTGAGCAGGTCAACGTCGTCGATGTCTGCGGGCATCTTCACGTCCTGCGGTAGAGCCTGCTGATCGAGGCTGCCAAACGCTGTGTTTTGGATGGTGTACAGCATCATTAATCCGGCCCAGACCCGTCGTCGCTCTTCTCGCTCAATTGGCCCGAGAGTGAACCGCTCTGGATCTAGATGGCAACCCATCGATATTGCAACATGATGTGTAAATCCTAGCAATGTCCAGATTGGCAGACCACGGTGGGCTCGGGCATAATTTATAAGAATTAAAGCTTGCAATGAGTTGATCGAATGTCGGGACATCACGCCATCGGCGGCGAGGCACCGTAACGCGGCAGATCGATATCGTGCTGACAGCACTTTGATATTTCGGCTGACCGTTCGCTCTCGTCCCAGATCAGACAGCAGAGGGTGGTCATCATCAAGTGCGCTTACAGCGATAGCAAGAATGGCGAATAGCAAAGCCAGCCATGACGTAGACACACTGCCAGGATCATGGCAGAAGTGCTGATACTCAGCTTCAAACGTCAGGTCATGAAGAATATGGAAAACCTAACGTGTTGTCAGCTAGCGTCCCCCCATCCCTTTCCCGCATTTCTTCCCACATAGCATACCGAGGAAAAGACCTGAAGATAGACGTCCTTGAGAGTATCGCAATATCGTCCAGGAGGAAGAATCGACAACAGCTCAGCACGCGAGATACTCCCATTCCTAGCCAATGGGATTTGTAAATCATCATCATCCTCGGCGATATCCGAGTCTAAATTCGGCAAACATTCCGCAGCTGGGCTCTTTGCCACTAAAGACTCCCACTGCGAGGCCAATGGCACATACCGCACATGGCCGGAAGGCGAAGTGTGGAGCTTGCCAACGTTGTCCAACATGGGCCCGAGTGAGTCCCATGTCTCAGGCTCAGAGAAACTGCCAGCTGCACTTGTCTCACCCAGTGGCGACACAGCGCCACCGGTTGGAGTAGCAGCATTCGAGGTCATCTGCTTCTGGAGCAAGGCTTCCAGATTCCGAATGCGTGCTACGAGTTCATTCTGCACTGCACTGTCGCCGGGCGAAGACTGCTCAGTTGAAAGCCGCGGCTGGCCGAGATAGATGCAGTCTTCGGCGCCTAGACCACGCCGAACGCACGTTTGGCATGGCCGGCCGTCGCGCGAGCATCGGATCTTTCGTGTTCGGCAGGCCTGACAGCTGATGGGGAGCCGCTTGCCTGTTGAACGGGATGAGGCCATAGATGGAGGATGGAGGTCTAGGCTGCGCTGAAGTGAAGCGGCACAATCACCTCCTCGTCTGAGGGGTTGGGGAGAGAGAGAGAAAATTGTCAACAGACACGAGCCAGTTCTCGGGAAGATCTAACAGCCGGTTTCAAAAACGGGTCCTCCGCGATATGTTGTGGGTATGGATCGCTGGGTTGTCTGTTCATAGGTTCCATATGAAAATGGAATTGAGAATCCACACTGGATAAGCGAGGATATTAACGTTTTCAGAGTTGAGATGAGAAAGGGATTGTCAAAGCCTTCTATACTTCAACCCGATCAAATTTGTAATAGGAGGCAACCCTTTTTCTTGAAGCCACATGGGTTGCGTCAATCGGAGTGAACGTTAGCGGCATACTTAATTTGCCCCCGTGATGGAGATTCCGGCCGAACAGAAAATATTAAATATAATTATTCTAGGGTTTGACAGCCCTGGAGGTGACAACCTTCCTAATACGGGGAGACCGTTGCATGAAACCATTCAGAAGGGACAGATTGATCTTCGGATGGGTCATTGGGCGATCAAAAAAAAAAGTTTAGCGGAAATTTGTCCATGCTATCAACAGAATGACGGTATACGGAGTAGATCGTAACAGACTACTGGGAATGTTTAGTCCTAATAGGGCTTTGATACTCCTGTGATCCATGGTTTCATTGTTGCTCGGGCCCTCCGAACCCATCCCGGCCCCTTGGGGAACACCTTCTCAGGACCGAAGAAAGTGCTAGTATACTTTTCTTTTCTTTTTCTTTTTAGTGGTGCTAAGTGACGTGGGTGCGAGCGAAACCAATCGACACAACATGCGTATACGCAAATTGTAGGGATAACTCGAAGTTTGGAGCCGAAATTGCCGTTGCCACTTATACGTGGCTAAGCCACACAGGATGCCGATCCTTACCCCTTGCTTCAGCTTGTTCCGTAATGAAATGCCTAAACGGTGCCATTATTGGTTAGGTGATTTTCCTCAGCCACATCCACATGCGCCATGATAACATTTCCCCCTGTCTGGAAGTATGATAGGAGTCTGGTGGTGTGCCATACTTAGAAAAGTCCTGGAGGGACTCCATTAGCGTGAAAATTCTGATTGACTTTTCAGCTCCCTGGAGATGTCACTCTCAGTCCGTGGTTTGCTGTCAGACCTTTGAATTGTTTATTTTTCTTAATTTTATAGAACCCGCGACCCTGATCCGCGTCGAAGATTCTACCAGATTTTACGAAGAATTACATCACATCATATTAATCATCACTGATATAAAATGACTAACTAACCTAACTATCTGTAAAATATTCGCTTCATATAAGGTACGTCATTTCCTACATGTAGAATACTACATTGTAGAAGACTACTCCGTAGAATAGTTTAGAATCCTTCCTGCGGCTCTTTAATTCCGTATTCCCTTTGTGCGGCGGGCTCGGACCCTCCCAGCAGGACTCATGTTCCTGGGCGTCGGGAATGGAATCCGGTAACTTTAACGTCGAGCCGTCGAACTAGTTTGGCTCCGCGGCAAATCCGAAGTTACCAAAAAGGAAAGAAAAGATATTCTTTGAAAATAAATAAGAATGGAGGTCAAAGAGTGGTGTGCCAAAGTACGTGGCAAATAGTCTGGGCACCGGGAGCATCCAGGGGAGCCAACTGCTCTAAATAATCACACGTGGTTGAGGATACTTCCCCGGGTCGTGTAGCTTTGACGATCGTCGGTAGGGATCCAACGCCTGCCGATAGAGTTTCTGGGGACAACATGCAGATGCTACCCAGGAAGGATTCAATGGCTATATCGTCGGGATGTTATAGTAATTACTCCATGGTCAATATTGCATTATGTCAGTTCGGAGAATTCGCAGCATGTGCCCAGGTGAGTTCTGCATGATCATCAGTCGAACGGCGACCTCGGGGATTACTTGTCTGATCTGGACAGTTCTAGTTCTGCATGCTTGTCTGGTGGGGAACGGCTGAAACGCTGAAAACGGGGGCAAAACACGAGGTGCATTCCACGGTTTCTCGCCTTCCTTAATTTAAATCCTTCAGCCTAATACATGCGCAGTCTAATGACCGCTTGTTTTACTTTGTGGCTTCGGTATCTGGGAAGGCAAATTAAACAAGCAACAATTAATTTGACTTCCAGTCAGGAGAAGAGGGTTGGAATGCTGTCTTAGGGTCATTCGTTTGAGTCGGTGAAGAAATTTTTGAATACACACATGCACTTTTGGGATTGATGTTGAAATTGCCTTCGTACCTATAAGCACCTGGGTGACCTCGTCTCCCCCAAAGATGCCAAGACAACGGGTTCAAACTACCTATGCTGTTCCATGGGTCGATTCAATGTGCTGCGTCTCGCCAACCACACTAATTGCACGCTTAGTTCCCTCGTCCCGATCCACGACCCGGTCACCGAATGCGGCAGCCACTTCTTCAAGGGTCTTCTGCTTAGTCTCCCTGAACAAGTGGTGTTAGCTTCTTAACTCTGTTTATACATCCCCCCCCCCCTCTCTCTCTCTCTTCGTCTCTGATGAAACAGGTAGAACGGAAATAGACCACTTACGGAAAGTAAAAGTAAGCGACCACCAAGAAGAATGCAGAGCATACTACGAAGACGTAGTAGTAGTTCTCATGAATGTTGGCAAAAGCACTTGGTCCGGCCTCGGTGACTGATTTCGGGTGAAGAGGTTAGCAATCGCACACATGGCCCACTACTTTCCATAATATTGAACATCAAACATACTTCCAACGTTAACGATGAAGTGAGACGCGGCGGCAAGTCCCATCACCTTGCTGCGGAGAGCAACAGGAAGAACCTCGGCGCCATATAGCCATGTAGTACTGTTGAGCATGCCATCTAAAAAGAAGAAAAATAGAGTTAGCGATAATTTCTTGCAGCCCTGGTCCGAATTCGTACAATAGCAAACCACGAAGAGGTAGATTCCAAGAATCGCGAAGCCCTTTCCGATGCGGTTGTCTGTATGCTGGAACTGCCTCTGCATCACCGCGGCGTAGATCTCGATCAAGACAATACCAGCCAATCCAGCAATCAACATCCTGTGGGAAGTTAGCGGCAGGCATGCCAAATGATGGCCCGGAAGAATCTACTTACTTCCGACGTCCCCATTGGTCGGTCATATACATTGTGGTGACCGAGTTGGACAAAAACGCGACAGTACCGTAGACTGCAGCCAAAGCGAGGATTGAGTGTGATCCGATTCCAAGGCTCTTGTATAGAATAGCTGAGATATATATTAGCATTACAATTCCGACCACGACACTCCCACAGAGAACTCACTCTGATAATACTGAATGACATTGACACCTGTCAAACTCGTCATCGTCTGCACAGCAATAGACCTAAATATTCAAGTCAGTTCCCAAACACACAAGCCAACAAGAAAGGAAACAAGGAAACTCACACAAGCACCCGATGTCTAAACAATTTAAAGATCTCCCGGTAAGAAGTCATCTCTCTTTCCATCTCATACTCAATCTGCGCCTTCATCAATCCAAACTCCTCCTCCATCTCATGGAGCACAAGGCCACGGCGAATGCGCGCAAACTCGCTGCGCGCCAGCTCAATCTTCCCATGGCGAATCAACTGTCGCGGCGAGTTAGGCATGAAAGTCGCAAGACCAATGAACATGATAATTCCCCAGGGGATCTGGATACCCAAAGGCAGCCGCCATTGGATGGGACCGTATGGTGCGTAGCTGCAGGCGTAGCCGACCCAGTTCGACATCATTGTTCCGAATGAGATGCCGCAGCCGGAGATTCCGCCGATCAGACCGCGGTATCTTGGATCTGAGATTTCGCTCAGGTAGATTGGGACTGTTGCGACCATTCCACTGAAGGGGTTGTTAATTTTTGGCCGGGTATCTATAGATCTGGCGGAGTATGTATGGCTTACCCTACTGCGAAGCCGGCTAGTACGCGGCCGGCGAGAAACATGCCGATGTTGACGGAGGCGGTTTGGATGACGGTGCCGATTGTCACGACCACGCACATCATTTGCATAAAGCGAATGCGGCCGAGTCGGTCGCCGATGAATGTCTGTGTTAGGGCGCCCACGGCTTCGCCGGCGATGTACACGGCCACAACCTAGAATGGTCAGTTTCTGGGTCTGTTCTGTCGGGTTGGAGGTTAGATGACTGATTGTCTGGACATACAGCTCCTGTGAGGCCATTTGATGGCTTTTTCATATAATCAATCCAGCTTTGGTGGGCAATTGCTAGTCAATCGTTAGTTTGAGTCGCAATATAGAATTTGTGGATAGTCAACTCACTAGTTGTGGCAATGCCCGTATCGAAACCCTATTCAATTATTAGAGCTAAGTTCCCGTTGTACACGGTCCAAGGTCGAATGATCACAAAGTAAGAAGTCAACTTACAAATAGGAACGTGCCTATAGCAGCAAAGAAAGCAATACCCAGCGAATACCACATCGCCATCTTGAATGATTATTGATTCTCGGCGGAATCAGATAGGGATATCAATAAGTGAAGAGGAAACGTAGATCACCGAGAACTAGGAACAAGAACTACCCCGATATATCACTTGATCTCTCACGGGAGCAAGCCGGGCTACGTCCGATGGGCCGAGGATGCGTCACACAGCAGAGACAAACGACATACAACACATGCGCCCATTGTCGGAGGAGGGCCGACAGATCGATTCCTGGGGAAGTGGGGGAACTGGAGTAGGTATTGGATACGAGAGGTCTCCACTCAAGAACTCATCAGGGTAATTGGGATGTTTTTGGGCCGTTTAGCCTCGCAAGATCAGAAGATGCCTGGGTCAAGGCTCTCGCCTCCTTTGGAATGCGGGGGTCGGGGGTCTTCGGGGTCATTCCGTGAGAACCTGCGTTTTCATATCACGTTCTTTCAGTTGGACTCCCTCCCATGTCTTATCCGGTCCAATGGTATGATATCAATTCTGAGCATTGAGAACCGGGTTACTGTTTTAGGATGTCTTGGCGTTCGCTTCACCCCCACGCTCGTCATTTCGCCCTTCGGTGTTTTCTCGACTTGGTCGTGCTGTGTTCTGATAATGTCTTATTTAAGGGATATACGTAGATTGGAATATGGTGGGTGTGCTGGGGGATATAAGAGCTTAAGTCGCTCAGAAGATCCTTTTCAGGTCGCCCCATGATTGCAAGGTTAGATTAAGAGACTTCGATAAGTCTCATGAGTCACTCCATGGGTAGTAGTGGACCCATCTTGGGAATGTGTAGGGAGTCTTAGCAAGAACTGGGGCATAAAACCCATTTGACAAGTCGAGAACAATGAATGAGCGAGACATGCAGTATATCACTACGATGATGAGGCAGCTACTAGCAGCTCTACTGTGAAGCAGGAATAATCATTCAACGACTCATAATCCGGTAGTCATAGATGGTGTTTTTGAATAGTTGAATTCCTATTTCATTTTTCCATTGCCAACGTCATATATGCTCCGCAAAAACAGCGAAGCACTTTGTGCAATGCAGGAAACCCAGAAGCCGAACAAGGAAATTGAACAATCTAGAAAACAAGAGCAGCACCCTTGGTCTTCTTGTCACCACTGTAAAGAAAAGAGATACGTCAGTACTGGATAGCAAAATAATGGAAAAATGTGCAGATGCAACATACCCCAGCTCGAAGTGCTTGCAGCGCTTCAGGGCGAGCTGCTTCTTGGTCTTGCAAGCAGTGCACTCGAGACGCAGGACGACCTTCTTGGTGGTCTTGGCCTTCTTGTGGAAGACGGGCTTGGTCTGACCACCGTAACCACTCTGCTTCCGGTCGTAACGGCGCTTACCCTGGGCGAAGAGGGAGGCCTAAATCACAAAAGAGAACATCATCAGCAATGGTTCACGACTACCATTCCGGTGTCGATGGCACTAACCTTGCCAGCCTTGTACTGGGTGACCTTGTGCTGTGTGTGCTTGTGGCAGTCCTTGGACTTGCAGTACGTCCGGCGGGTTTTGGGAATGTTGACCTGTGCGGAGAGATGTCATGAGCTTCTGGCTTTTTCGTCTGATTGTGTGAAGATCAATGTCAATGTAGTCCGTGCCCCGGAATCCGATTCGAAATTAGTGCGGTCGCAAAGATATGGGGTCGTGTCGTCCGGGTTGTGCATTTCATAGGGCAGAAAGCGTAGTTGAATAGCTGGTATTCGAAAGGATCGCGGGGTGCATCCATTGTCTGCTTCTCGAATCCGCGGTTCATCACCAAGTGTTGTTATTGCAGGTTTCGCCACCTATTCCCTCTTCAATGCCGACGTTTCATATTTCATCCTGCGAGAGTCCGGAAAATACCGACGGTTGGTTCATAATGTGGTTCGCGACGGTCGGCGGATTTGACGATTTCGAGGTCGGCCGCACAGTGGACATCACACAATCTCTCCACGACTCGAGGAATTTCGAATGGCCGGGGCTTGTAGAACACTTTGACATATCTCTGGGTGATATCCTTACCATTTTGACTGACTTGGCCGGATAGCTGGGTGGTGGTCGTTGGATTGTCGCTTGTCGGAGGAGAGCAAGTGCGATTGTTGGGTTGTGGGATTTCACTCGCTTAGGCCCTATCGGGTGGGCGCTAACCATTTTAGGAGTCGCCAAGAAGGTTATGCTGAGTCATTCATAAAGTTTATGTATGCCTGAGGCATCCTGGCATCACTGATCTCTAACATTGTTTGGAGTGGATTCTCGGCATATATCTTGTATTCTGCTATACAAATCCTTCTCCAAATACAATACTGTCCCCTATTCCATACCACGTCCGGCCCTTCATCAATTCCAACCCCTTTTCATGACCTACCACCCATTGCCCTTGAGACGGGTCCCCCAATCTCCTCCACACATTTGAGCGGAGTTCATGATTGAGATCGTCGATCTTATCAATAAGGCGCGATGCTTTCTTCTCGAATTCCCTTGGGGAATCTGGCTCTCCTTCTTTGGGGCCACTTGGCACAACAAATCGCGCAATGGTGATATGCGCAGAAGGGACGGTATATCTAGCCGCGATTGGGCAGCCAGATTGAGTCACGATGTTGTACAGATCACTTCGCAGATGGTGATACGTGAACTGGTCATCTTTTCCAGTATACACATTGCGACCTTCCTCGCCAGCTGCGGGGACAAAGCTCAGAGCAATAGCAGAAGTGTCGTAGCTGATTATTGGCTTCACCAGCCGGGCACGGTGGGTGAGAGTGTAGCTTGCCAGCTCTGCTGTGAGCCCACTCATCTCGAGAGAAGAGGCTATCTCATCAATTTCAGGTCCTGTTAGTGCTGACCTGATCTCGAGCGTGGTCATGTGCAGATGATGCGGGGGTACGAGCCAGAGACCTATGTTGTAGATGCACGGTTAGTACAGTGTCTCTACATTGCCACATATGGTATTCGCACACACCAGGACCAATCAAGGGACCGATCTCCCGCTGGATCTTGTAGACCAAGTCCCGGATATGCTTCGGGGGGCGTGCCCAAAAAGCAAGGTTGTTTCTCGGGTCGACGAAGTCTGTCAAGCCCTTCTCTGCCTCGAGGACTTTGGACAGGATCTCATCTTCTTTCCATTCGCAGAATCCGGGTTGGCAGATTTGGTCTCTGAAAAGGGCATTTCTATTGCTTCTATGGTCCTCATAGGCAACTTGCAATCTTTTCTGGATGGGACTATCAGCATTGGCTGCTCACAAGTAATGACTCAAACTTACTGGGTCATTTTCAGAACAAGTGATCAATTGCTGGAACTGATTCTCAGCTGTTACATGTTGCACGGGTTCATTGGTCATGTTGTTTGAGTTGGACTCCAATTGACGGTTGATTTTGGGCTGGGCCAAGGGTTTCAGCGGGGTAGATGGGGTAAGACTATATGCAAGTGAGAGGAAATTTATGTATTTGGATCATAGTTAGAAAATAGCCTTTTTTTCATTTCCCAATTCTGTCCAAAATATCAACTATATAGTCACACCACCAGTATCCCGTAGTTCATTATATATTGCTGAACTCTGAAGGACAACTCATTTTGCAAAATGGCGTTTCGGGAGGTTTACTGCTAGAATTAAGACAACAAGGAGCTAGTAAGATATTTCATCTTCCTTAAAAGATCCTAATTATGGTGTTCTCTACACTACATTGTATACATTGTCGCAAGCCAAAGTGAGGCTCCGACGCGATCAGGCAATAAGGCCATAGGGCCCCACCCAAACCCCGCCAGGCTCACATCTTCTCTCCAAACACTCATTGACAAGAGCTGTACCTCCCAACTACATTCCAGCCGACCCATACCTTGCTCCATTACTACTATCAAAACAACCGAAAAGCCACTGTCGCTTCAACATGTTGATCAAGTGCGTTTCTCAGCTCCAGCATGACCCCATCCCATTGCATCATGGCATGACCCGAACTGGAAAAGGCCACCCCCAGAGCGGCAAGCTGATATTTCGCGTCCAACCAGGGTTCGAACACTCACTGGCAAGGAGATCGAGCTCGATATCGAGCCTGACTACAAAGTAACCACCCAACAGCCTTGAGACGTTTCCGGCTTCTCCCCGCACGGAATCACTCAACCCTTCAACTAAACCACACCCGCCAGTCCCACTATACCAACGTCTTCTGAATGTGCGTATACTGATACGGACGGTCCTGTACAGGTCTCCCGGATAAAGGAGCGTGTCGAGGAGAAGGAGGGAATTCCCCCGGTCCAGCAACGACTCATCTTTGGCGGCAAGCAGATGTAAGAAACTCCTCCCTGAGTTATTTTTATTGCATTTTTTATCACGAGAAACAAATCCTAGCTAACACCATATCATCAACAGGGCGGATGACAAGACAGCCTCAGAATACAACCTCGAAGGTGGCGCCACGCTCCATCTCGTTCTTGCTCTGCGTGGAGGATGCGCTGCGAAGTCGATGTAACCGCTTTTTGTCATTTTTAGATACCATATTTCTGCAGCAATGCGAATCAGTTGAGGAACACTAGTGGTTGTCCATCCCGCATCCCATTTCGCGAGGATTCGATCTGCAGGGACCGCGGCGGAGCACTGGGATTTGAGCTTAAATGGAGAGGCAGTATGCATACTAGGTGTTCTGGATTGAGACATTTTTATTTATTTGGCTCCTTTCCTTCAAGGACACAAGATTCTTTCATGGACTGGCTTGGTTTTGCTACACCGCTCCTGCCTTTATTTCCAGGCTTTGGATGTTGCGAACGTCTATTTCAGTTTAGTTGGGCACGCAATCCCACGGGATACAATGCGAGTACTGCTGAGTACGTTTTTGCAATGAAGCACCGAGAGATGATTCAAAATACTTTGTAGCCAAGCTAACTGAGTTTCAAACGCTAGACATGGTTCAGTTCACGCCAAGCCCAAAGACCTGGCCAGCAGCTTTGGTTGGATTTTCCGGGATAGTCGAAGCTTGAGAAAGTTGGTTTAAGCACATGGCCTGTAGTATTTGACAAGCAGAGCTCATACCAACGTCACAGACAGAAACGGAGTTAAGGATAGGAATATGTGGTTTGAAAATTTGATGAAAATTTAACATGAAATGAATCGCAAGTGAGGTGAATCCCACCTCGGGTATCAGAACGAGCCCAAACTCCTTACCCCAACTGAAAGATTGATGTTACCTATATCCCATATAGGCAAGTATATAGAGTGCTCCTTTCGGATACCCCGAAAATCACAGAAGATCTGGTGATCCGAATATCACGACAAATGTCGCCGCTTTGCCGGCATGAAAATGCTCGGCGCCGGACGTCGACGAATGACGCCCAGGCGGGGCAGAGAAGGCCCGGAGGAAGGCGGGCCGGAGGGGGGTAGAGAAGAGGTGTGAGGGGCGGGGAGAGAAGAAGAAGAAGAAGAAGAAGAAGAAGAAGAAGAAGGGGCGCAGGGGGCGGGGCGAGAGGAAGAAGAAGAAGAAGAGGGTTTCTCTGCACCATGAGGGGGGGAGGTCGCACGGCGCTTCAGCTTAGGCTTGGGTTCAGTGGCCACAGCTGGTGACTTCTTTACGCCAGACGCATCGCTACTGGATGCGCCGCGGGGTGAGGCGGCGGAGGCGGTGGAAGTCAGTGCGCGTAGTCGTGCCTCATTGTTGGCCAGCATAGGGTGCTGGAGTGAGGGTGGAAGCATGCCGGGGCGCCGGCTGATGCGTGGGGGAAGTGGTTGCACCTTTGATGGCGGCTGTGGGGCTGCCTGCTCGGCAGGGCGGCGGTGTTCTTCAACCAAGCCAATCGGTGCACGCTTGACTTGCGACGCGCGGTTGTTCAGAGATTTGGTAGGCATTGTCAGCGCGGTGTTGCGTTTCTGTGGCTGGAAGATGCTAGGTTTCTTGTCAACACCACCGCCCGTCCTGCGATCATATGTAGCATGGCGTTGTCGGAAAGAGGGTCGGGAACCAGCCATGCGCAAGCCCTTGCGCTCAGGGATGAGTTTGGGAGTGAGCAGTGCACGCTTGGCGCTAATGCCGTCAATCGCCATTTTCATCCTCTCCGCATCGGCATCAAGGGAACGTTGGGCTTGATCGCGGAGATCACAGTAAACACCGTACCAGTTGTTGGTATTATCCGGGAGGTGGTACTTCTCCCACTCGGGAATGTCCCGTTTAATGAGCTCAAGCCACAGTTCTTCGTCTTCTTCGGCGAGGTGGGGGGATGCGAGCTCCATGGCGTGCTAAAGATTTACAAGAATGGCATTAGTAAATGAGTTCTAAATGAGAATGAAGTCTAAGTGAAGTTGTAGAAAGTGAGATTTAGAAAGACGTACCAGCTTTTCGGGGTTATGGATATTAAGCAAGATAGGACGGGCAAGTGAGTACGGCATGGCGCCCAGATCATCTAGGTCTGAAAATCACATAGTTAGTCTGAAATCGTTCAAAACGAGAGAGCTCATTTTATCTGTACCTTTCACAAAGCGGATAGCCGTGGCTGTGGCTAGGTGAAGTAGTGATGGGGCCGGCATCTTGCTTATGACAGCAATGGTTCAAACCGAATTTGGTACCATAAGATGTGCGACATGGGGTGAAAGCAAGTAAGCAAAAGATAATAAGCAGACGAGGCGCAGGTCGCTCTACAGATAAAAAGATGCCAGATGCGACGCTATTCCAGTGGTTGTAGACGGTAGGAGGCACACAGCTTTAAATAAATGGAGGATCACGCGGTCGACGCTGATTGGCTGCCTATAGCTATATGGGTTTAATCTTGGAATGCTTTATTTGATGTTCTTTGTAGAATGTCTCATATCTACATTTACGGAGTATACTCCATAGTAATGATCTGATATTTGCAAGATTTGATATCTGCTCAAGTGAGGACTAATGACCTTCATTATCAACATGCTCGGAGATCTCAAGCTTCATGTTACATTTGCTGGGAATAAACCACCACGACAGGGGCTTTTGAATGAAAGTTGACGCTATGTCTTGTGTCTCGAAACTTATATTGTTTCCCTTAGGTTTGTGCAATCGGCACTTATATAGCAACCTTGGAAGTAATGTAGCTACTCTGGGATAATCCAGAGGAACCCTTTATTTATCCATATATACAACTTCTCCAAATTAGCAAAGTATTGAAAGCTCATTAAAATAGTAACTAGGACCTCCTTTGCTTTTTGAAGTAGCTTTTATGTTCCAACGGCTTCTTGCATTCATCTTGTAGTTGTCTCGGATCCATCCTCCGTCATCTTTGGAAATTATAGTAAGGAGCACGTGATGCCCCACTACAAAGCAAACCATGCAAACATCGTCTTGATAGCATCATCGAGGGGCAGGCATATCAATGAACTTTTGAAAATCAGCTCAGCATATCACTAATTTTTGTTGTCAGATATATCCACAGGTACGTCCCTTATTGTCTTCCTTTCTGCCGTGATGTCCGTCTGTATACACAGTGCCTTGAACAATTATGCCAGCAATGCTAGTCGTACAACTATGATTCGGACATCCTGAGCGCTGGATATAGAGACTCTCGATAGCGTTAATTAGAACACACCTTTCTTGTCTTATGGCGTCCCTTTCAACAATATTATACGAGACCCGCATGTCAAAGCCTCAGACACATCTAACTCTCACACAGATAACCACAATGGCTCCCCGCTCACAGCTAGAGATCACCACTTCCTCCGTGATCCGTCTGGTCAAGGAGGAAGCTTCTTATCATAATGAGCTTCAGCAGCAAACTGAGCGTATCAAGAAGCTGGAGGCTGAGACTGCTGGTGACGATGAGAACCGCGAGTTTACCCTGAAGCAAGAGGTATGTGCCCTCTATAAGAGCTTTTACCTAATTATCTTGCGTATCTTTGTAGGTTCCTCTATGCTGACATGAGTGATAGCGCATGTCTATTGAAGAGACTAAGAAGGTCCTGCCTACCTTGAAGGAGAAGATTGTGCAGACCATTGCGAACCTGGAAGCTCTGATTGTGAGTGTAACATCCTTTTTCTACCACCTATCTGTATTCTTGGATTCCATTAACCAATTTTGATAGATCGAGGAGGGCAAGAAGGGATCGGACAGCAACGTTGAGCACATTACCGCTGCCAAAGAAGCCATTGCCCAAGCTAAGACTGCACAGCGCGAGATCTCGTGAAAGAGATGTCGATTACATCGAAGCTAAAAAGAATACCCATAAGGTGGAAGATTCCAAAATATCATTCATAAATTGAAGCCGTCCCCAACGCCAAACCATAAAGCAGAACTCCTTGCTAGTGCTAGTAATATACACGCCGAAATGCATTTTCAGGTAGTATCCATCTTTCGGAAGTCATCAGGGAGTTCCTCTCCTTCCTCGAGTTCGGATAATTCGCCATCACTAACCGCAGAGATTTCACCCTCATCAAGCATATTGGTGTCCTCTGTTGCTCCGTCGGTCTGGGCAGTTGTGACTTGCCGCAAAGGTGACGCAGCACCGGCAGGCCCGGGCTTCTCAACATGCAGAGCAGATGGCCGACCGGCCTCATCTTGGCCGTCCTGGGAGGGGGACACAGCATCGCTTTCAGGACCGGGAGGAGTGTTCCCACTGCTAGCCTTGCCCTTGGATGCAACATCTCCCTCGTCGCCGTCTTCGCCCTCCTGCATGCCTTCTCGGCGCTCGACTTCCTCTTTCTCATCGCGGATCAGCCGACGAAGCTGCATCCCCTCGTCCACAATACGACCGAACTGCTCGCGTCGCTCGGCCCAGGTCATGGCATAATCCTTGCTTTCCTTTTCCAGATCTGCAATCTCCAGTCGCAATTTCTGAAGGTTCGCTGACTGGTCTTCGCGCGGTTTGAGTAGGCGATTGCTCGTAATTTTGTCCGTCAATTCATCGTAGGTCTTTCGCAAGGAGAGAAGCCGCTGTGCCTCTTCGAGTTGACTGCGTAGGTCGGCCGTGCTTTCCCGTACAGACTGCATTGTCGACAGAATCTGAACTCGCTCGGTGGCATATCGTTGGCGTTCTTGCTCGTTGCTGGTAAGAAGAAACTGCACGCGCGCAATGCTGCCTTCGAAGGCAGCAAAGTCGAGTGAGACATCCTCGCGGAAGTGGCGCCATTCTTCGAGCCTTTTCTGTTTCTCGGCTTCCGTTGCGGTCGCGGAATCGACGTCGGTCTCTTCAGGGGGAGGGGTGAGAGGTAGCGAGGATTGTGAGACAATGAGGGATTCGGGGTTCAATAGTCGTTTCGAAATTCGCTTGAATGGTTTTTCTTCGACATTGAGGAGACGCGACTTATGGAGCGCATCTGTAAGAGCTGGGGCGTTAACATTGACCTGGGAGGACAGAGCTGGAGTGGATTCGACCTTCTTCTGGCTGGCCCAGCAGCCCATAAGAAGCCATTTTCTATATCTGATTATGAAGTTCGATCCCAAAGTCTAATAGCGCAGGGTAGATTGAAGGTGTTCGCGACTTCAAGGTGATCGAAGTGGGGATATGAAAAGTGAAGCCGAGCGGTCTGGCATTTGGACTCCGCCTTAACCTTATTGACCTCCAGGGCTTAATGGCTGGCTATTCTTCAACAATCAGCTGTGCTGCCTAACGGGTGTAATCGACTCTCGTTTACACAATTAATTATAGCATCCGAGGCTTTTTGGCTAGAGACCAATCCAAAACTATCCAGAATCGCTCGCGTGCTTGCTTAACCGTCACGCTGTACTCCACAATCCAAAGCTGTTTGCCAGCACGGCCTGGTGAAGCCACAAGCAGAGGCCCAATGGACTTTGTCGCTCAAGGCTCTGTGACTGCTGCCCTAGCTGCTAACTTCTTTGTGTCCTCGGTACTTGCGTCAGTCTCATCACTATGACGGAGATGTACTCTGGCCTCCATGTGGGCCAGCGGTTTTGCTCTCTGGAAGAGTTCAAAACATTGGTACGGAGTATATCAGTCCGGCAACACTGGGAGCTTCGCGTGGCCCGTAGCAACAAGAAGAGTGTGGTTATCGGATGTCGATCATCGGCAAATTGCTTCTTTCGTGTGGTCTGTCGCTCAAACAAAAATGCGACCTACATCACCAGTCTTCAAGACAGTCATAGTTGCCGTCGGAGTGCAAATTCTCCTGCGGCCACACCCGCTCGCTCTGAAGCTTCCCACGTGCGATTTCTGCTGAGCGAGATCCCGAAACTTTTCGACATGAAGTCGAAAATACGAGCCCAGGATGTTGTGGATGCTGTGAGACGCTACCATGGGTATGATATATCTATGCGCCAGGCACAGCGAGCGCTTACCAAGCTTCAACCACGATGCGCCGAGGGCCAGGATGAACATGGCTTGGATATGGATATGAGCGCAGAGGAACAGCAGTCGCCTGAGCAATCCCCCGAGTCGCAAGGAGAAGGGGCACACGCATATGGGGAGATACCCGAAAATCGCTGGCTTCCAGAGCATCTCCCATCATCACTGATCGACGACGATAACATGTCCCCAAACGAGACCTCAAACAACCACATACCTGCTCCACCATCTAGTTCCCAAGCCCTGCCACCTCCACCACAGGTGCAACACGTACCGATTCCCACGTCAAACCAACCATCTTTCAATCAAGACTCACATTCAATGAGTATACCACAATCAGGAGTCGAATACCAGACTGCTGCTTCTTTACCAGTAGGAGTGGTTGGACCTCCAAAAGACTACCCTGAGCGCAGCGATCATGGTGCTGTTCCCCAGATGGTTCTTACCAATTTCAAGATTGAATTCACCTGCACGACCTGTGGGTCACTGAACCAGAGCTTTTTCCCGAACCAGGGCAATGTCACCGGTGCCAGCTATATGACCCATCATGCTGTACCGAATCCTGGCAATGTTCCAAGACACGCTGGAACTAATCCTCAGGATGGTGTTGGTAGCAGTAGCAATGCAGTCGGCGAAAACCCTGCTTACGATATTAATGCCTCCGATCCACCTACCATCCAGAACGCCTGGCCTGGTGGTGGCCTAGGAGTCCAAATTGGACCGCCACATACCTAGCTGACATGTCCTGTTAAGAGGATTATGTCGCGCACCATGTTACAGTGATTGGAATATGCGGCTGTGCAAACTCGTGCTTGCACACTGCAACCGGAGCCAAAACGAGCGCCAGCTGACTTTATGACTTACTATGCATGACAATGTATGGTATTCGATGCCTTGACCTTCCCGGTTTCTGACTTTTCTACACGTTCTATGAGAAGACGTCAAGGTCAGAATTTTGCATGCCCAATCCAGATCACGAGGACAACATCTAACCCAAGTCCAAAGAGGACTAGCTCGATGGGTCTTTCTGGGATCTCTTTTTGATTTTGACCGTGAGGACTCTATGCAGGTTCATTTTATGTAGGAGAAATAACATCCGAGATGACCTGGGACTGGATATTATCAGGGCTAATATTGTTATGAAGTCGACGAGCTATGCTGGTTAATTGTGTTTTGATACCACTTTTGATGATGGGATTGGAAATACCTCCAGAGCTATTCCTATGTGCTTACTTCTGAAACATCACCTCATCTGCTACCACATATTGTTATACCCTTGCATTGATCAAGTACATGTTCCCCAAAACAAGTTTCTTCCCTCATGCGGGAGCTGGTCTCTCGCAACCCGTCGTCACCTATTCGTAAGAACGACTAGGTAAGTTGACCTTGGTAGGGTTGGACCGCCTGGTTATTGTCCAAAGAAAGAATCTTGATTTTTCAACATGAGGCATTCTCTTTCGGTCAACACTTGCAAACACTGATATTGTGCTCCTCGTCAATGGCGTACAGTATGGTATAATGCAATCATACAAGTCAGTTCCATATATCACAGGGAAACTGCTCCGTGGACTCTAGATAATGATAAAAATTACGTAGCATTGTACTCCGTAGATGAAATGGACTATCTTACCTTGATAGATCCTCTTCTGTCAATTGATAGAGTTCCTTCCCTAACTCCCCGCTGACTCGATATTTGTCCCCAACAACAGAGTTTTCGAGTAATTCGCTGTCCATCCATTTACTTACAACACCAAATAGATCGTCAATCTCGGGATCCAGACGGCCCCCGCGAACAATGTTTCGAAAGCCATCCAAATAAAGTAGCCGCAGACTTCCAGACTGGAAAGCTTCCTGGTCTGCAAGGATTAGGTATGTCCTCGTGGAAAGTTTATGTAATCTCATCGCAAGGCGCTCAATAATTGCGTCTCGGCCTCGACCCTCGCGCCATTCCTCAGGGGTTTGTTCTTTCGCCTCGGCAATTTGGGTTTTAAAATCAGGACGTATACTATCAAAATACTCCGGGACACGGAATCGCGCTATCCATTTATCTTCAACCTCAGGAGAAAGTGGACTAGCAACTTCAGGAAGAGCTTCGTATACACGCCGCCAGTCCGGCCCAAAGTTAAAGTAATCCGCGTCATCAAGGACAGCCCACTAGGATTCTGCTTCAAATAGGTCTATATCGACCCATATATTGACCAATTCATCGTGTTCAGCTCGCTCGCCTTGTTCGGTGCTATAATATGTGCGTAGTAAAACAGGGGATGTCTGGTCATGGAACATATTATTTGCGCGCCATCGAAGGGCATCAACACGGTAAGGTCGAAGAATAGTGTCGATTTCCTCCGCCGTAGGCGCACGAGGCGGATATGTGAGACTCTCCCAATCTTCTACCCATTGAACCGGAATAAGGTTCAGCTCGAGAAACCCAGCGACTAGTCTTATTCGCTGCTGATCGGGGGTTTCGGTCGAGGAATGATTCCAGTTTGTCTATGCGGGGGTTAGTAAAATGCTTGCCAATGAGTTGCGGGGCAAGATACAACGAAGTATTGTTCAACAGCCAGTCTGCCCCAAGGGGGACCAGTCATGTCATCCATGATGAAGATAGGCCGAGATGCCTGTAGAGAAGAAGACAAGGGGAGATGCGAGAGACGCGGGGGAGAGTTAGTGTTAGTGCGGCTATGGAAGCTCTATCGAAGCGCAAAGGCTTGCCTTCGTCAAAAGTGCCCTCTGTTATCGAGTCGTAATCGTTGAGCATAAGCGGCGTTGTGACGGCACTAAAAAGTACATACGCATCTGTGTGTAGAAGATATGGCTTCAGATCACTGGATAAGGGGATTATGAATACTTCGGAGAAATATCCGGAGGTGAAGGCCTAAATTGCCTGATTCGGCATTCCGGACATTACTCAGCTATCGGACGTCCGATCGGGTATCCGACGGCCCACAACAGACTCTGCTCTTCGCCAACACGGAAAAGACGAAGCGGAATTGAGCCGACAGTGCCTGGATCGAAATCCATGCAATATTGGGCTACAATGCAAACTGAGCACACAAGATTTCACTTGTGTCGGACCTGGATCCGATGTGATACCTGCCAGCGCCGGTGAAGCTCCAATCGACATCCAGCGCTCAGTTGCCCGATGGATCGAAAGGCACTAAAACCCCGGGAAAAGTTTTTTCTTACCAATAAAATGACTCTTATACGAACAAACTTGCCGTGGGATTAGCTGTCCCTTTAAATAACATTGAGGTCCTCCCTGTTTCATACAATTGTGCTTTGGATAGTATCACGCCAAGCATTCCCTGCCAACCTTAATATACTTCGTGTTACAAGATCTTCTACGCCACAAGGCACACATGGCCTTTTACGAAAAGCCTCGAAAAGTCTAAGGAGAATTACCATTCTGAGCGACCTTCCCGTGACCATATCTACAGCTATGAATCGACAACGAGAGGCCGAAAAGGCCCTGCATGACCAAACAAATATTCTCCCCTTCGCGCAGCTCATGGTTGTCTTCACGGGTCTAGCAATTTCTTTGCTGATTTGCATGGTTGACCAGAATGGCATCAGTGTCACACTACCAACAATCTCACGCGAACTGGGTGCCCAGAATACAATCTCCTGGGCTGGAACCTCATCGCTAATTGCAAACACCATGTTCACGGTGCTTTACGGCCGACTGTCAGATATCTTTGGCCGGAAAATCATGTACATCTCCGCATTAGTCTTGCTCTGTATTGCAGACTTGCTTTGTGGCTTGTCCCAGAACCCGGCTATGTTTTATGTTTTCCGAGGCTTGGCTGGTGTTGCTGGTGGTGGTGTTACCTCTTTAACGATGATCATTGTCTCCGATATCGTGACCTTGGAAAAGCGAGGCAAGTACCAGGGTATTCTAGGTGCGTCTCTGGGTATTGGCAATATCATTGGACCATTTCTGGGTGCTGCATTCATCATGCGTTCAACGTGGCGCGGCTTTTTCTGGTTGATTTCTCCATTGGCTGCTTGCTCTGCAGTCGTTGGATACTTCCTTATTCCGAATAATGCACGCAAAGATAGCTTCCGGGAAAACATTGGCCGCATCGACTGGTTCGGATTGCTTGCATCGTCCATTGGTATCATTTTCCTCTTGATTCCTATCTCGGGAGGTGGATCGTATTTCCCCTGGGATTCACCGATGGTCATCAGTATGCTCGTTATCGGAGGTTGTTCACTCGTTTCATTTTTGCTCATTGAATGGAAGGTGGCTACACTTCCGATGCTACCAGGTAAGTTCTGATACTCCGTAGTGGTAAAATGACATTCAATTGACATGAAAAACAGTGGTCTTCTTCCAAAATAAGGTCGTCTCTGCAATCTTCTTACAGAGCTTTCTGTATGGTGCAGTTTACCAGGCAAGTCTTTATTACCTGCCATTGTACTACCAGAATGCCCGTGGCTGGTCGCCAATAGCCTCTGCGGCCATGACATGTCCTATGGTTGCGGCCCAGTCAATCTTCTCAATCACATCCGGACAGTACATCTCACGAGTAAAGCGCTATGGCGAAATCATATGGATTGGATTTGGCTTGTGGACCCTGTACGTCGATCGATGCCTAAACTTTCTTACTTTGGCCCCATACTAATAATGTCATTCTCATAGAGGGTCGGGCCTCACGTTATTATTCGGTACCCACACCCATCCGGCCGTTATTGCAGTCATTGTGGCAGTCATGGGCGCCGGAATTGGCTTCACATTCCAGCCTACTCTCGTGGCCCTACAAGCCCATTGCACCAAGTCCCAAAGAGCAGTCGTGATCGCAAATCGTAACTTCTTCCGCTGCATTGGTGGTTCATGTGGTCTCGCTATCTCCGCAGCAATTTTGCAAGCTACTCTTCGTTCTAATCTACCAACCAAGTTCGCGTACCTGGCGGACTCTTCATACTCGCTTCCCTCAAGAGCGAACCTCAGTGCAACTGAGTGGGCTTCAATCCTGCTTTCTTACAGCAGGGCTTCCCATGCAGTATTCGTTCTGCAGGTCCCTCTCATCGGCATGTGCTTCCTGGCATGCATTTTCGTGCGTGACAGAGGTCTGGAGCGACCAAAGGAGCCGGAAGAGATTGAAGAGGAAAAGCGGAAAGACAAAGAGAGGGATACCGAGGCGGCTGCTTCTGAATAACCCGAGAAGTCTGTAGACCATCAGACATACCGCCCGGCCGAGAAGCGTCATTCTGCGTCGACATTCGCCGAATCATCCATGCCGCCTTCTCGGGCGGAACCTAATACTGAGGGGCACGTAGACAAGGAGCAGCACTGAGGCATATAGAGACTTGAGAACAATCATGGGCCGCTCGATGTGGATATGACTGGCTAAACCTGCATTTGCTTTTGTTGCATGGACGGCGTGTGATACCAAATGGGCAATACAGTTTGCGATATATTAATTTAATAGAAACACCCTTGAAGCTTACTGCCGAGTCCTCTCATTGTATGTCGATATTCCTATCTGGTGGACTGGAAGCTGCTCATCACTTCCCAAGTTCTGCTTCTATGGATGGCTAACTCCATGAACTTCTGATTTCTCAAATCTTTGAAATATCTCTTTGATCACAAATATCCGAATGACAGAAAACAATAGTGCAAAAGAATTAAATTTATCCTAGACACCTCATAAACTATAGGCTGCCTTAATGTTCATAGATGTGTTGTCTTGGCATTCCGATCCAACCGCATCTCCGACCTTTCTCAATCTCACCTTGCAATGGCACTTCACCAGCGTCTTGATGGTTCAAATTAAGGCTGAAATTTTCCAGCACATTTGATATGTATGCATTCGGGCAGAGTCCCGAGTCATCGAGGCAGACAAGTCCCGCATCGCGAGATCATAACCCGCGGAAACGCGGGAGGACCGCATGCACTCGCTGCAAGACACGGAAGCAGAAGGTGAGCTCTAGTCAGTAACATAGCTACAAATATTTCGACTAACGGTTTCCAGTGCGACAATGAACATCCGACTTGTTCCAACTGCTTGAAGGCGGGGGTCTCGTGCGACAAGTCCAGCGTCCGAGAGGACAAAGACCGCCAGAATGAGTAAGATCCAAATATATGAAGTAGCCACAAAAGCTAACCTGGTTGTTAGTTACACACGTGGCTTAGAGGAGCGTGTAATGTTCCTCGAGCGGAAACTTGTTGAGTCTGATCGATCATCAGACCGGAATGCTGCCGCTACAAATACTGCGTCTTCGTTGTTCTCCCCACAAGGTGGCCACACAACACCGCACACAACTACCTCGGGATTTGACAATAATCCCGTCGGAGAGATCGTGGGCCTTCTTGCCCTGAGTGCCTCCGAGGCCCCTGCATACGTAGGATCCAGTTCTGGGCTTTCTCTTGCTGCCGACCTCGGAGAGATGGTCCAAACGAGTGTGTGGAACCAATTCATCTCAAGAATGCAACAGAAAAGCAGTGCCGCCACCAATAATCCTCGAAATAAGGCAGACCAAACAGATGGGCCCTCGGAGCAGCCCAGCGCCACTCAAATCCGAGATCGGGCAACGAGAATAGAAGATCTCTTGCCAGCGAATGTTGAGCCACCAACGGACGAGATGGGGGCGAGAATACTCGAAACATATTTCACCCGACTTCATTCTCGATATCCATTTCTTAATCGGAAACAAGTGTGGCAGATCCATGCGGATCGATGGCGCTTAGCGAAGATCAAGCGCGAGGACCTTACCCGGTCTGATCGATTTGCTATCTTTAAACTCAACCTCGTCTATGCAATCGGTGCAACGATGCTTCGGCTGAGCGAGAAATATGCGTACATGACTCCCGAGGTAATCATATTCTCCAAATATTGGACCGGCTAGACGCTTACAATATTTAGCGATTCTATACTGCCGCCTTGCAACATGTTCCCATAATGTGTGAAGCACGATCCATTGAAAATATCGAGGCCATGGTTCTTATTGTCGTGTATCATCTCCGAACTGCATCCAGTCATGGCATGTGGTACATGATTGGACTTGCTATGCGTACTGCTATTGATCTAGGTCTTCACCGAAAGGCAAATGAGAGCAACATGGATCCTTTCACCACTCAGATGCGACGAAGGCTATTCTGGACTGTATATTATTTGGAGCGAGTGGTATCAATGTCCCTCGGTCGCCCGTTCAGTATATCCGATCGTCACATTGATCTTGACCTCCCACTAGAAGTGGACGATGACATTGAAGATCCCACACTACTCACAGCACCCCCAGATCCAAGCAAAACCACAACCTTGACATTCGCAATCTACCTCTTCAAACTCCGTCGCATCGACTCCCGTATCCAACATAAGATCTACCGTGCCGACCGCCCTCTATCTTCTCTCCGACCAAAAATGGACCCTCTATACCTTGAATTGGAACAATGGAAAGAATCCGCCCTATTGCGATTCAGCGGCCCAGATCTCGACTACCCAATGCTGCATTTCAACCGCGCAGTCCGACTACTAATCCAGCCATTCCTTCCCCTCCTCCCAATCACAGACCCATACTACCAAATCTGCATCCTGGCCGCAGGAAACATATGCCAATCCCACAAACGCCTCCACCAGACCCTGGAATACGGCCACTCCTTCCTAGCCGTGCAAACCGTCTTTATGGCCGGAATCACCCTCCTCTACGCACTATGGACACACACAGACCAAGTCTGGTCCGTCCGCATGAGCAACGACATCCGCGCTTGCTCAACAGTCCTCTTCGTAATGGGCGAGCGCGCAGCATGGGTCAAGAAATACCGTGACGCCTTCGAGCTGCTAGTCAACGCAGCCATGGAGAAACTGCAGGGAAATGAGACTGCCCGCAGTGCCGGAATGGCAGAGCTGATGACCGCCCAGTATGGCGTTAACTGGAATCCTACTACGGCTCCCGGCATGTCCGGTAGTGATAAGTTTCCACCCGTCAACCCGACGGGGCTGGCTCCTGATACTGCGGGTGCTACGCCCCAGGGTTGTCCGGGTGACGATTCTGAGCATGCGGTTAGGATGGCGTTGCAGCTGGCGCCGTGGATTGATCAGGATGAGAGTGATCCTCTCTGGGTGCCGGATTTTGAGACTTTGGAGAACTTGTCTGGGACTTTTTGGAGTCATGGTGAAACGAGACTTTTCGATCCTATGTGATGTCTTTTTGGGTTGTACACACATGAGAGAGATGGAATCGATACCCTTTCTTTGTGATAGAATTATAGGTCCCATTTTCTAAGATTTACCCACCATGGCACGGGAGAATTGCCATGGTTGTTTGGCGGCATTTTGAAAGAGAAACCATAGAGCCCCCCAGATGAGGCAATTGGGCCTTGTTCTCAGCACAGGGCCTGTCTGGAAATATATTTGGCAGACTTGTCAAGCCCGGTCCCATGCTTGCTCATGCTGCGTTGGCTTTTTGAATATCAAAGTCTGGTGGTGTTCATGTGAAAAGGTCGACTAGCAACAGTCCATCAGAGTATCAGGCGCCGTTTGCTTGAGATCGAAAGGAAAGTTGCAGACCAGATGGTCCGATGGCCCTGTTGCATGTCTATAAAGAATTATTCACGTTTATAATATGTTCAAGGGGGTATATCCGTGAACCAGCTTGCAAGATCCGGCAAATCGAATCTTCCAAGAAATCCAAACTCTTCCTGGCCCAGGCTCATCTCATCCCAAGTTGTGAAAAGATTGATATCCATGTTACTGGCCTCGTGACGGAGGTTGTGTTCGTCTGATATCGGCTCGGTAGGCTGCGACGCCAGATCGGGTCGGTTCGGTTGTTGATTGCCCCTTTGGTGTAGCTGAGTAGAAACCAACGAGGAGGCGTCACCAGGCCGACAAGTAGCTACACGAGAATTAGCTTATAGCTAGTGAATATCCGTTACCGAACAGCGAACCTGAATAATTTTGCGTAATATGTTGATGCGTCACCTGCAGGAACTGCAACGAGTTGCGGGCAGACACACTGAAAATAGCCATAAAAGCCAAGATTTCTTCGCACTTGCGCCAACTCTCATCCACGATGTGTGAGTCAACTTGCTCCCGGATAGAATGGCAGGAGTATGACATTATCAGGATGAACCCTGCAGTTGATGTGTCTAGTACATGTTAGTTGTTGAGCGTGAATAACAATGAGCGGAATTGACCACGAACAGAATCCATTGTACCACCATGCATCAGTTGCATTTGTTCGATATGTTTCGTGAACAAGTGAGACCAGGTCTATAGCTGCCATGACGCATGAGGCGGCACATTTTGAGAAAACTGAGGAGTAGATTATGTTTTTCTCGCTGGGTTGTGTATCAGAGCGGCGTGATGACCCTGCTCGCTCATCGGAGCAGAGTTGAGTAAACATGGGGCGATATAATAGGAGGCGAAGGTGAATGAATCTGTTTTTTTTTTTTTTTCTTTTTGTCAGAAATTAAACTCAAAACCCCAGAAAGAGAAGCTACCTCGCACGCAACACATTCTGCTGGCGCTTAAATGTCGACGCAATGCCACCGCCTGAGCGATGCAGCGATGGCTCATCTGTCCAATTTAAGGGCTGGGGCACGCTAGTCTCGTAGGCAGCAAGTTTATCATCGAGCTCCATCAACACATCTAGGCTACAAAGCTTGGAGCTTCGTGGCGAACTGGTGCGAGTGCTGTTTGATCGACTCTGCCAAGCGTTATAGACCTCGGATAGAATAGACTCGAGTATTTTGTATAGTTCAATGGTTGAAACGTAGAAGGTCATATACCCAAACTTGTGGTCACAGGATTGTCCACTAAGTTCACAAGGATCAGCTTCTTCGGAGTCCGTTCCCATTGCAGGCAGAGGCAACGGTGAGATGTGAGAGGTCATGCTCGGTCTTCCATGTGTCATGCTCACAATCCTAGTTTCATTAGTTAGCTGTTTCTTCAGGAAAGGATCTAGAAAAACGATTGCACCAACATGTCCATAATTACGCAGCTATGCCAGGTACGCCGCCGTATTTCTGTCTCGAGAGGTTTGTTCGAGGAGTGTGTGGTTGTCTCGTGTAACCCGAGTCCTTGACCAGCTCGACACGCCAGTCCAATTGCATTCCAGCACCGATTCGGATAAGGGGTGCTTTGAAGAAGAAGTGAAACAATCAGAAGCGTTTGAACGACGCCGATAGTGCCTATGTCCAGAAGATCGAGATTCACAAATCGCTTTGCGCGAAGGAAAAAGGAATAAACCGCAGCCTCCCGGTCTGCAGGCGGAATATCAGAGAAATAGCAGCCAATGGCAAAGATGCAATTGAGTGCGCAGTGGAAGACAATTGAATTAGGACCGCAATCAAATGCGCCCCCGAGTCCGATATTGAGTTGTGGCAACTCGGGCTTGGATGCCTTGTCCGACCCCCAGAGATTTTCATACGCTTGCTCAAAACTGGGACGATGGAAAAATGGGAATAGACAATGTACTCTCTCCCAGTAACACTCAAGAAGGTGGTCTGCTAGAGATCGAGGCGGCAAGGAGAAGTCGTCGAACCGAAGATCTACCGATGGATGGCCTAGATCTCGCCAAATCCCCGTATCTGGGCCCTGGGATCTTGACGACTCACTCTTGCTGTCTCGCAAAGCTGACATGTACGATTGCAGAGGCATCGACTCCCCTGCGAGACGCATAAAAGACGCCACTGAAGAGTTCCCATAGTATTGCTGCTCCCGTGGAGAGTCTGTGCTTGGTTCATCTTCTGCAACAGATATTGCACCCATGGCGGTGACATTACCGTGGGAGTTGAGAGACGGTGAAGGATATATGCTGCCTGCTCGTGGCTGGACAGATTCAGGAGACAGATTTGCCACATGTGGAGATCTATAGCGCTCAGCTTCAAATCCATTCCTCTGCGCGGGAAACCTTGGCGGTTGAAAAGTAGGTGTTGGAGATAGAGGAATTGGTCCAGATGGCACAGGGGTGGAACCCAGTCCTAGTAATCCTTCAGCAGCAACAGATGTCCTGGATTCGGCATCCAGATGATCCAAATCCATATCTTCACCCATATGACTTTTACTTTCGCCGTGGTCTCCATGCTGTGAAGGCCGAGGCGGAACAGTAACCCCACCTTTCGCACATGTCTCTTCAAGCTCTCGAATACGATCGTGGAGAATCTTCAGGTATTCATCGTTGCTGGCAGACCTCGCATTATCCAGCTTGTATACACATTGGTCAACAGTATGCGAGCGCCGAGTGCATGGGCCACAGATTGGCTTTGTACCATCGCACCTGACCTTTTTATCTCGGCATGACTCGCAAGCCAAGGCAATCTTGCGACGCCGTGGTGGCTCTCGTTTAGTAATTCCACCCTTGGGAGGCATCCCGAGGTCTGTTTTCACAGCGCTTGGTCCGATAAGCCACAGTATTGCTGCTGTACTATTTGATTGGTGATCCGGGTGATAACCGAAGAAATGGTGCGTGCTGTAAGAACTGGAGAACCTGGGGAAAGGGGAAAAGGAACAATCCCGGGGCTGTCCGGAATGTATCCGGGGGTATTATCACGTGTCAATGGCTACCCCGCGAAATTAGCTTGAAAATAAAATGGAGAAATGGAGAAGCATGTGCCTGTTTCGTTTTAAGGTCAAGGCTAATGACCCCTGAGTTGCTATAATTGGGCTCCTTTCGATTTGGATCGACATCGTACGTGGAGCACCGGGATGCACCCGGTGGGTGTCGTCTTTCTACACGGAGGGGTTAGAAGAGGAATACCAAACAGAAAACCAACTAGATACATACTACATCTATGCTATACAGTTAACACTGATACAGAGAGAAATGCAGTAAGTCAAATTAGCCAATCATTTCATTGCAGGACGTTGCACCCGTCGTGCCGTGCAGGTGCCAAGGAGACGCGGATCCGCGGGTACTATGCCGGGTGCATTCCGGAATTGACGTAGGGAACGCTGCCTCATTAATTAGACTTGCTTTGCTGCATTAATAGAAGCCAATCCCCTCCATCATCTCCTTTTATCCAAAATCCAAAAGTGCTGTTACACATGGTCTTCCACAAGCCTGATATCAGAACATAAAAACCAGACACACCGATATCTACACCCCGGAGTACAACTTTAGCCGGATACCATCTGTTACCTGAATATCTTTCGCAATCAAAGCAGATCAATCGATATCTGCTACAACCCCAAATGGAAAAGAACAACCCGACGCTTCAAATGGAGCATAGTGACCTTTCACACTGCCCCTGGCAAGCCGACAAACCTCAACCAATCTCCCGAGACCAATGGCCCGCTGAAGAAGGTCTCCGATGGGGTTCAGATCCCAGCTTCTGCTATCACGGCTACTCCAGTCCCATCGGCACCTGGACAGAGGAGAGACTTGTGCAGAATCTGATGCGGAACATGGCCAGCTTCTGCACCACCATGGATATTGGCTTCAATATCCCCGAAATCATAGATGAGCCATCTCAGAAGCCTATACTGGATCCATCGGAACTGAATGGATTCACGCTTCCCATGTTCCAGCCTTCGATGGCCCCACAGAATAGAAGATCCTCCGAAACTCCGTCTACGCCATCTTCGTCCTCATCGAGCCAAGGCCAGATGTTCTCTCCGGACAGTACCGAATGCACACGACGGGCAAGCTGCGTCAAATCCAGGACTCAGTCTGGGCAGAAGAAGAGGAAGTGTGTGCAAAGGCCAGGACAAAAATTGTGCCACTGTCGATCAGAAAAGAGAAGAAGAGAGATCATTGGAGAACGATATAAAGAGCTTTGTCGCATTGTGCCGGGCCTTGAGAAACAGTCATTCACGAGGAAATATGTTCTCGAGGGGGCTGCACTATGGATTCAAAAATTGGCCCAGGGAAACGATGCCCTTCATCAACAACTTGGGCAGTTGAAGGAACAGGAAAAGTTAAATCAGTTACGGTTATTTCCTATTGAGGACGAAAAGTTGGGCTGCTAGTTCTAGCATTGTTTGTATCTATAACGTACCACAATGACATGTAATCTATAATGATAATATCTATATCCACGCATGTTGAACATTTAGTAACTCACGAATCATATCATATCAAACACAGTAAGAGTGTGACGGACCTTTTCTATCCATATACAAGAGAAATTGTGAAACTCTCTGCTTATTCTTCATCTTTGCCTCAGACAGTATTTACTCTTCCATCCAAATTCAATATTGTACAAAACAAAACAGAAAAAGCATTAATACAAATATAGAATCTACCAAGGAGGCGCAATGGCAGCAATCCCCTTCCCCAATTTCTGAATCTGGGCAGCATAATACGTCTACCAAACTAGTTAGCAAACCACTCAAAGCACCCAAAAGAAAAAAGAAAAAAGAAAAAAGAAAAGAAAAACCTTACACTCTCAGCGCCAGCCCCAATAAGATGCAACGGCAAGAACCGTGTATACCACGGAACAGGCGCCTTATTCAACGGCATCTGCGCCTCATCATCACCAACACTCTCATCCAACAACAGACGCGGGAACTTCGGATCAATAGCTGCAGGCCGCCCAATACCAACGAGATCACAAGCATTATCCCTAATAGCGGCCTCAGCCCCAGCACGCGAGCGGAACCCACCAGTCAACATAAGAACGAGTCCAGGATGGCGCTGTCGCACCTCCTTCGAGAACTCGAGGAAGAAGGCCTCGCGCGCTGCGGTGCGCGACGATATCGGTGCTGTCGCCGCATTGGCTTTGCCGTAGCCCATCATCTTTGGGTCTTCGTAGCTGCCGCCTGAGATCTCCATGAAGTCGAGACCGGCTTCGGCTAGCAGTGCGATTTGCGTCATTGTTTCTTCGAAGGTTGTGGAGCTGTGGTCGGCTGAGTTGAGCTTTATGCCGATTGCAAAGGTTGCCGGTACGACTTTGCGCGTCTGCGAGATGATCTCTAGGATGAAGCGGGCGCGCTTTTCGGGTGTGCCGCCGTACGCATCTGTGCGAAGGTTTGTCTGAGTTAGGTCGGTGAGTATTGGTGCTGATCACGGTGTTGGTAGTTTTGGCTGGGGTGGTAGAGGAAGACCGAGAGTGTCATACCTTGCCATTGAGGAATTGATCTAAACAGACGAACCATTAGCACAAAGATTATCGAGCCATCATTGAAAAAGAAAAAGAAAAAGAAAAGAGAAGAAAACATACCAACCAAATACCCATGCGCACCATGCAGCTCAATACCCGAAAAACCAGCATCCGCCATCAGCCTCGCGGTATCAACGAACTGACGAATAACCCTCTCAACATCCTGAGTCGTCATATCCTTAGGCTCGCTCCAAACCAGACACGCAATCAGCCTCTCGAGGTAGCTATCTCCAACTTTCATGGGCACGGCGCTGGGCGCGAGCGTCTGTGCGAACATGCCGCGGCGGCCTGCGACGCGGAAGGACTGTCGGCCTGGGTGGCAGATCTGGGCTATGGCTGGCGTGCCGTGCTTTTGGCAGGCGTCGGCGTATTTCTTCCATTGTGCGACTAGGGCGCTGTTGGTTTCGCTGTCTGTGTATTCGCTGTGTATGGCTGGGTCGAAGGGACTGCCCATGTGGTTTACATCGACTTGGACGTTTCCTGGTGAGGTATTAGGTTTGGTTGTTGTTTCGAATATGTTTTGATAGTGTAGGGTGGGATTAGGGTCGTGGTTAGGGCTTGAAGGGTTGGTTGCACATGAGAATGGGCAGGGTTGAAGTTGGAGTTGTTAGGGCTCTGCCTATATTTGGGGAAGGGACATAGATACATGTATAAAGCTTGGGTTAAGAGTTTTGAAATTGCCATAAATTCACAATCTCTGGCAGCATTAGACCTTACCTGTAAGAATACTTCCCCATCCACCGTCCGACCATTGCTCATATGCATCAACCAGGGCATTCGTCGGCTGGTTAGTTTTGGCTAGCAACTCAGCCATTGCGGCCTGAAAGGGTGTTAGCTCCATTTGCGTATAGCCGTTAGACGTGAACAACGTATGTGATTTGTCGCACCTTGCTCAGCCTATTCGGTAAGACCAGTCCACAAGGGAGCTTGACGGGGTCTGCGAGGGGAGATGACATGACGTATACGCAGCTTCGTATGCGATCGATATATACAGTGAATTATAGAGTTTAATGCAATTGACAATTGGCGATGTAGATAGCAAAGTCCGACGGACATAAAACACGCTGTGAATGACATTAGTCTCAATTCCTCGAAGTTAAAGGGCAGACATACTTCTATACCACAGAATCCGAATAAGAAAATTGCGAGGAATAAATAGACACCTCAAGATTTATAATAACACACATTTGCTTTCAAACCCTCAGCGGATAGATTGATCTCCCGGTCTTGTATTGTGGGGTCTTCAGGACCGAGGTTCAACGTCGAAGGACGTGGATTGGCAAAATCGGAGAGTTGGGTTCATCCGGATTATTTGATCAGCGAAGATCGCCATTATTGCGAACTTAGAAGGGAAGGTGTTGCAAAATATAAATCCATGGACGTTGGCCAGATTCGTTTTTCATCCCCAGCCATGGATGAATGGTCGGACGAAATAAAGCCATGCAGAAGCTAAATTGTATAATGATATCTAAGTTAGTAGGATCCATGGATCATGGTATAGTTTGAGTACCTAGGTATTTTAAATTTGTTCATTCATATGGCAATGGCAGCTAAATACCAGCTATCCCAATATGCTAAGACCCTCAAAATGCGAGCAAAAACCAAAGAAAACAAGTGCTGGGTATTGAATCAGGGAAGGAGTTCGTGTCCAACCCGAAAAAGGCAGAGAAGGGGAAACAACGAAAACGAAAAAGAAGCGCGCTCGAAACCAAAAAAAAGGGGAGGGAAATGTCAATGTCAAAACTGACATGCGAGTCCATCATGCAGAGATCCTAAGCGCTGACAGATTAGAACAGATGCTCTTTCTCTTTTTTTTTTTTTTTTTTTTTAAA